CTTCAAAGAAGGGCCCGTCTCAGAAGACTTTTTTAAAGACTGTCCCCTATGAACTCCTGGAGTCTCTTCCACCTGTGTAATACCGTGATTTAACCCTTGGTTCTGCTCAAAAGACCTTAATTCCACATAGGACATTCCCATCAGAACCCTGTCTGGTTCGGGTTAAGAACCATGTCTCTACCACTTAGCTAGGTGATGCTAGGCAAGTTATCTAACCACTATGAAGTTCATCTGTAGGATGACAGTTTTTTCTGACAGTTTTCTTGATGATTAAGTGAAAAAAGTTTTGTGGCTTGGCACCTGTAGCTCAGTGGCTAGGGCACCAGCCATATACACCAGGGCTGCAGGTTCAAACCCAGCCCAGACCTGACAAACAACAATAACAGCTACAACAAAAAAAATAGCTAGGCGTTGTAGCAGATGCCTGTAGTCGCAGCTACTTGGGAGGCTGAGGCAAGAGAATCATTTAAGCGCAAGAGTTTGAGTTTGCTGCGAGCTGTGATGCCACAGCACTCTACCCAGGGCAACATGTAAGACTCTGTCTCAAAAAATAGATAAATAAATAAATAATAAGTTTTGTGAGCTGTTCAGCACAGTGTCTCACCCACAAGAAATGCTCAAAAAATAGAAGCTATGTAGGCCAGGCACAGTGGCTCACACCTATAATCCTAGTACTGTGGGAGGCCAAGGCGGGTGGACCGCTTGAACCCAGGAGTTTGACACCAGCCTGAGCAAATAGCAAGACTCCATCTCTAAAAATAGGCGGGCATTGTGGCAGGTGCCTGTAGTCCCAGCTACTTGGTAGGGCTAAGATCACTTGTGCCCAAGAGTTTGAGGTTGCTGTGAGCTATGACACTGTGGCACAAGAGTGACAGAATGACATTCTATCTCAAAAAAAAAAAAAGAAGAAGAAGAAGAAGAAGATAGAAGCTACTATTACTTAGGATTAAATGAAAATTAAATTAAATGAAAACAAATGCCCCAAACAGTACCTGGCCCAGAGTAAGCACTCAATTTTAACAAAAGTGTGAATCACAAATGAAATTTTAAAATAAAACAATTTCTTGAACTTCATGTAGGAACTGAAGTTATGGCTTTGGATAATGCACCAGAACCTCTGCTTTTCTACTTTTTCTCTGCAAAAAGTGAGAAGAGGATTAGATGACCACTAAAGTTTCTTCCAATTAGAAGGAATTTGTAATTCTAAAGAATACCAGAATTTAATATACACTAAAAATTTATAATATGTTTTATATAAGACTCTAGTTATTGGTCAGGTATGGGGGCTCACACCTGCAATCTCAGCCCTTTGGGAGGCCATGGTAGGAGGATGGCTAGAGATAAGAAGTTCAAAGTCAGCCTTTGCAACATAGCAAGACCCCATCTCTGAAAAAAATTAAAATTTTTAAAAACAAAAACTCTCGTTATGAACTTTAAAAAGACTATCACTAATATTACAAAATAACTAAAAACTTAAAATTCATAAATGGTCTACAGTATAAAGTACTATAAATTTTTAAAGTTCATTAATTATTTAAGAACTATTTAAACAACGAATGACTGCTAACTACAAAATTAAAGACAAAACAAAGATGTTTTAATTTTGTATGCAGTTTCCCCTTCATATTCAAACTAAGAAAATATTTTAAGTTGCTTGTTCCATAAGGATCACACATACTGAGTCTAAACAATCCCAGATTCCAAATTCAAGGAATCCAAATTAATGCTGCTCTATATTCAGGAGTCAGCAAAGAACCAGATAGTAAATATTTTAGGCTCACTCAACCCTTCCCTTGCAGCTCAAAAGCAGCCAATGCTTACATGAATGGCCATGGCTATATTCCAATGAACTATACTTATGGATGCTGAAATTTGAATTTCATACCATTTTCTAGCATCATGAAATATTAATACTCTTTCTGATTTTTAAAATTTGCTACTTAAGGGTAAAAACCATTCTTAGCTGTACAAAATTAGGCCGTGTACGGGATTTAGCTCACGGGCTGCAGTTTGCCAATCCAGACTCCTGCAATTACATATTTTGGGAAGAAAGTGGTAACACAGGAAATCTGGAGTTGGCGAAACACCCTTCTAGGACTTTTACTAATTAGTTTGTTGGTGTTTGTTTTTCTATACCGTTTTCATCTGCCATTCCGGCTTCCACTCCAAACTACTCACCGTTATTCCTATAAAAAGGACTCTAGGTTTAAGCATAACCAAGGTAAGCCTGACACCTTGTGGTTGCCTTGCAAATGGCAGGTGCCACCCTTGGGGGCTACCAGCAGGGTACAGCACCTAGGGAAGAGTGAATCCAGGAGGTGGGGGTTCCAGGCAGGTTCAAGGGGCAGTGAGCCAGCCAGCAGTTCTTTTGTCATCATTGTTGTGATTGTTCTGAAAAAGTCCAGAGTTCACAATCTGACACCTCTCTCCAAAGGGGGCTCTTAAAGGGCTGTCCTTAGAAGCACTTCATATTCTAATTATTTAAAAAAAAAAAAAAAAAGCAGGCAAAGTGGCTCACACTTGTAATCCCAGCACTTCAGGAGTCTGAGGCAGGTGGATTGCTTGAGCTCAGGAGTTCAAAACCAGCCTGAGCAAGAGCAAGACCCCATCTCTACTAAAAATAGAAAAACTAGCAAGGCTTTGTGCCAGGAGGGAGCCTATAGTCCCAGCTACTCAGGAGGCTGAGGCAAGAAGATCTCTCGAACCCAGGAGTTTGAGGTTGCTGTGAGCTCCAGTGATGCCACAGCACTCTAGCCAGGGTGACAGAGTGGCTGAGGTAGAAGGATCACTTGAACCCAGGAGTTTGAGGTTGCTGTGCACTAGGCTAAGGCCACAGCACTCTTTGCCCGCACAACCGAGTAAGACTTTGTTTCAAAAAAGAAGGAGGAGGAGAAGGAGAAAAGGAGAAGAAAGAAGAAGAAATTCTTCCCAGAGTAAGGCTCTGAGGACACTGAAGGCTCTCCCTGGTCTGGTGACGTCTCCCAGTAACAGCCACATGGAGGACAGACTCCCCTCAGATGTTTACACAGGGGAAAGAAGGAAGGAACCTAATTGCTACTGAGAAGGAATATGTGAGAAATGGCAAATAAGGGGCTTCAAGAAGTTAAAGACCAATGATTGAAATGTCACAACAGTGCCAAGGCAAGATGGGATTACTCATGGCCTGCCCAGGTCAGACTGTTCCAACCTATTATGCTGTTGTGCTGTGATGAAGTGTTTGCCTATTTGGGGAAAAGGGTTGAAGAGGCCATTCCTTCCATTCCCCTGCCTCTAGGAGCGTTTCCCCAAAATCTCCTCTAAGTTATGCAAGAAAGGAGAGCCTGCATCATGATGGGTGGTGAAGTGTGTCCTTCCATCTAAGTCACAGCTATCCCTCTGTGGTTCTGAGAAAGCAGAGAGAGGGAACACTCAGAGGGGATTCGCCAGGGCTTCCCCGGGGCTCTGTAGCCACAAAAGTACTTTGGAGGAAACACTCCCTGAGAGTCTCGGGTGCATGCTAAATCTCCATGCTACAGAAAGGGGTCAGGTGAGCTAAAAAGAATCAGTGGTGACCTCAACTGTCAATAGCCCCAGCATAACCACAGAGCTGGGGTGGGATGGGGGGGCCTGGAGACTGGGTGAAGGATTTAAAGGCCCAGGTCCTGGGGATCCCAAAGGCTCTTGCACAATGACAACTCAGAGGCAGGCAGAGGAGGCTGACTCTAGAGTGTGTACTAAAGAACAGGACCCTGGACCCAATCCAGACCTGTGCCATTAAGACTGGGATGGGATGCAAATACGGAATATTGGGGTCCTAAGTACACGTTACCCATCCCTCTCTGCCCGGGTTCCACCTCCCTGCCCCAAGGAAAGGCAGCCGTGGGAGGCAGAATGAATCATCCTCAGCCTGGAGCTGTGAGCAGTGCAGGGAAAGGGCTTTGCCACCTTTGGTGAAGCCCCCGCCCCTTCCGGCAGCCAGCAGTATTCCAGAAGACCAAGTTTCCAGGGACTGCGTTTTCGCTTCCCAGGGAAACGCTGACTTTCCAACCTCACTGCTGGTGATTTCTCACTGAACTGGCCTCCGCCCTGCCAGCCCTGGAACACAGCAGTACCGGAGTCCTTGGTAGCATTAAACAGGTGTGTCTGGCTGCTGTTGTCTTTTTTTCACCCAGATCTTGAGTCTGGAGTGAAAATTAGGAAAGGCTACGCAGGGCTTGACAGTGGAGAGCGTGATTCTTTCCCACCTTCCTCTTGTCCTTTTTTTAAAAGCCCTGGAAACATCCCCACACACAGTCGGACCTCCGGAGTGACTCTGCAGGGATCCTGACGGTGTCTGAGACCGGCGCAGGAGCCTCTAGTGAGGATGCGTCCTGGGCACTTGGCCCTAGAGCAGAAAGCGGCCGGCGCCTCTCTCAGAGCTCCGCCTGCAGGGTCCGTCCAGCATTGTAGGGGTTAATGGGTCCGCGCGTAAAGGGAAGGGAAAAAGTTGGAGTTGACACTTAAGGAGGGGCAGAGCCGACGGGTCTCGCTGACTCCTGATTGGTTTTACATTTCGTCCAAATTTTTTTTTCCTCCTCTCTCTCCTCTTTTCAGATCCTCTCTCTGATCCCAGGGGAGGGGAAACGGGAATAGTGAGAGATCAAAAATAAACCTCTTATGTCAAGCCGGGAAGGAAGTATAAATACAAAGGGCTCAGCAGCCCCCTTGGTGCTTCCCGGAGCGGGGAGGAGGCAGGGGCGGAGGACGCGCGCACGCCGGCCGGGGCGCCAGCTGCTCG